GACTACTACCACGACTACTACCACTACGTCGTCGTCGTCGTCGTCGTCGTCGTTGTCGTCGCCGTCATCGTCTGAGGCGTCGCCGTCATTTGAGTCGTCTGACTCGTTCACGTGTGTGAAACGACGACGACCGCCCTGTCTTCCGTCCCAACACCTTCTCTCCCTCCTCCTCCTCGGACTCGTCCTCCTCCCGCTCCCCCCACTAGGTGGATGTACAAGGCGGCAGGAGGACATAGGAACAGGGCATATATGCGGGAGCAGGCAGAAATACGCCTGAAAAACACGACTGTCGGCATGCTTCGCTGGAGTTGCTGTTTGGGGATGGGCTGGTGGGGATACGCGAAGCGTGAAGAATTGCAGATCGACGCCGACGACGCCGCCGCCGCCGACGACGACGAAGACGACGACGACGACGACGACGACGACGACGACGACGACAGCTCCCGAACAGGGCTGGGGGCGCCTCCTGCGTCCTGGGGCGGTGCCGCCGCCGCCGGCGCCGGCTCCTGGGGCGAAGGGGCGCCGCCGCGGCGCGCTGTCCATCCCGCAGAGAGGGGAGCCTGGAGAGACCTCTGGGTGGGAAGCCCCCGAGGCGTCGATCTGTGGGGAGCCGCCCTGGCCCAGGCCGCAGCCCTGGAGAGACCTCTGGGAAGTCCCCGAGGCGCCGATCTGTGGGGAGCCGCCCCGGCCCAGTCCGCAGCCCTCCTCGCGCCCCCCGCGCGGGGGGCCCGGGGTTCCCAGTGGTCGAGCTACCGGGCCCGCGGCCGCTGGGGGGGGGGCCAGCGGCGGGAACAGGACCAGTGGCCATCCGAAGCTTCGCTCATCCTCGACAAATCGGCTTCGGAACGGACTCTGAATCTCAAAAACTACCGTTTCGCTCGGGACACCCTCGCCAACGAGTAATCCGCACTCCGAGGGCCACGAAGGGCTTAGCTCGGCACACCCCTCACGATCTCAACTGCCCCCTCAGACGGCTCAGGGGAGATCGCACTTCGTCCCCCATGGACACCCAAAAGGCCGTCCGACCAACAACAGGACTCCAACATGGCCCCAAGAAACATTGCAACGATTGGTACCGACACTCGTCGAGGCAGTATCCCTCACACAGACGGATTGTAAAATCTGCGCGCAAACTCCCAACTAGGGACCCGCCGTGACTCCCGCTCTGCGGGCTCAATGAGTTTGGCAAGCGGGCACTGACGGGCCTCCTCCTCCTCCTCCTCCTCCTCCTCCTCCTCAACTCCTCCTCCTCCTCCTCCTCATCCTCCTCCTCCTCGCTCCTCCTCCTCCTGTCGGGCCTCACGGGCGTGATCTGGGCCTCACGGGTCGGGTCGGGCGGGCAAACCCTGCAGGGCGGGTCA